ACCGACATTAAGCTACCAAATCATATAACTTTTGTCAATGATTTCTATAGCTGTGTAGAAAATTAAAACTACACAAACAAATCGTAAAAAAATTTTGAACCTGCATATTTCTGAAATCAAATATGCATATTTCGCTAACTTTGAATTTGACACTGGTGTTAGTAAAATAATTAAAATGTAGGTGGCACGAAAGTCTTCGTTCTGTATTGAAAGTGAAATGATAACTTGTAATTAGACCACACATAACATAACATAACTTGTTTATATCACTTTACAACATACATATATTTATAATGATTCTCACACTCACATGTATGAGTCGAATAACAGCTATGGAGGCGCGAAAATTTATGTAAACATTATTTTCACTTTAAATTTATAATATTATGTTTTTTTTTAAATAATGCATATGGTAAAGAGAAGTAAGCAGCGAGAATTGCTTAAGTCGTTATAATTTTTGCTTTTCGTTGTCGCTTAGTTTGGTAAAATATTTGTAAGAGCACATGCAAATTATAGATTTGTTGTAACTTCTAAATAACATCCACATTTATAATGTGCAATTCTCAAATTGTCATCACCGTGAGGTATACATACATATGTATATCACATAACATATTAATATTATAAATTATTAGATTTCATACAGACAGTACCACCTCATATGGCCTCATATATTGCTTAAATTGTCTTCGCAATTTTTTTAATTGAAAGTTAAAATGTATTTGTAATTACCGCCGCCAAAAATGCATATAATTGTTTATGCTAATATTACATCTAATTACTGTTTTTTTTTTCTCTAAAAAATAAGCTTCCTATATTATTGACTATAACATTTTCAAATTCTGTATAAATCAGCTATGTCATAATGTTTAGGAAATGTAATTTTCAAGTTATTTTATTGAAAGCCTTCAGCAACATTGTTAGCTTTAATATGACACTGGCAAAAGGTTGGCAGCACTTTGTGAAGTGCTCAATATGCATCCCTACTAGCATTAAAACTGTATATGACATTCGAAGTTATAACTCTAACAATTTAAGTAACCATTTCAGTTTTAAATTACTATTTGCGATTTAATATTGACTTAAACGTTTAATGTATTTCAAATTTTACTTCACAAAACAATGAAAAATGGCTCCAGTTAAATATGTATACTAACAAAAGGTGTGAAACTTTTCTAATTGTGAAAAGGCAGTGTTCCCTTTACACTTTGTTCAAAACAAGGTTTCATTTTGCCATTTTAAATTTTAAAATTCAACAAACATATATATATAGTTATGCTATCATACTTCCATTAACAAACATACATGCTCAAAGTCATAATGCGGCTCAACATTATTCTTGCATATTTTCCACCAACAAATAAACAAAAGTTTAGTTAAATGTGAATTAGTAAACAAATTGAATAACGGTAAAACTTTACTTGACCTTCAAAAAATTCACTTTTTTTACGCCTGGATCTTAAAAGCACTAGACTATAAGTTCATATATAATTTTTAGTTCGTATATTTAAGAATATACAAAGTTCAACACAAATTTTAGTTATAATTTATAATTTAGTTGTAAGTTATAAAAGAGCAACAGGCTTTATTATTATTTTTTTTTTAATATGCCGTATATTAAAGTGTATACAAAATTATCATATATTCTTGACCGCAGCGGAAAACTTTCATCCAAGGTATATAAATACCCATAACACTTTTAAGTAAATAAAATGACGATTTACCCTCAACTATTACCAAAATTGTATTTTTGTACACAATACTTAAATTAATTGTAGTTGCTTAATTATAATTGTTTAAAAACAATTGAAAATATTTTGTTCAATGTGCAAAAATGTTTATTAAAACCGGTAAATAAATGTATGTATTTGCCAAAATAAATGATGACACAAACAGCGACAAATGTAAATTAGTATTTACGATTGCTATATCACAATATAGCAATATAATAATAAGCAACAACCGTATTCAAATATAATCATAGATATGCAAGTGTGAGCCATAAAAAATAAAGTATTACTGGACGAAGGTAGCACCAGTTATATAATGCTAATATCATCCAGTTATATAATAATCAACAAATTTTGTTCTTCTGACTAACCTATACCTTAAATTCGCAACAAACAAAATTTATATGTCCTTACCAGGTGAACGTAACAGATTTAGCTGTTGTAAATCGTAGTTGTAAGTTTAAAATTAATATTTTATTTTATATTTGTATTGTGTTACTTGTAATATTTGCAATATTATTGATTGTTAAAAAATGTACACACCCTTCTCACTTTCTAACAGTTTTTCTGCATATACTCCCGATAGTATGCGCAAAAAATTATTAAAATGAATTTACATACGTATTTCTTGTTGGAAACGTAGCTAATTAATATTCGTCCGAACATTTTAAGTTATGAAGAAATTTGCTATTTGTCTTTTACATGCACTAAAATCGATTAAATGTCGGCCAAAAGTTTGTTACGGCATTTTATATTGGACATTATTATGCAATTGTTGGGCAAACAAGTCGCTAAAAATTTAAAAAATAAAAAAAATTAACTGTATAAAGCTTCTTAAAAAAATGGAAATCAAAAGCAAGAAAAATTTTAGAAGCACACATTAATTACGTAGTCATAATTGAAAAAAACATTACAAAAATATAAACAACTGTTGACAGTTGGCTAAACGTGTGCAGACACAATATTTATTTTAGTTGGCTTAATTAAGACGAAAATAAAATAAAACCTATTTACATATTTAACGCCTGTGCTATATATGGCATGTTTAAAACTCAAATTATATGCTTAAAAATATTTACGATATTTCACTGTTATTTGATGAGTTTATCCCAAAAAAAAATCAAATATCTGCACTTATTTTAGAAATACTTGTATATTAAATTACTAAATTATATAAATTTAAGCAAATGCAAAATTATTCAAATCTATTGCAGTTACTACTAACAAATATATAACATTAATGTACTCTGTAGAATTAAATATAAACTTATATAAAATAATAAAATAAATTATGTTTGCTATAGCTGATAAAAAAAAAATGAATTATAGCTACCACCATAAAAAATTTATAAATGTTCATTACAATTGTTATTACTCAAAATAATTATTTTTACATGTAAAATTCATATTCCATGTTGGCACTGCCAACGATTCTACAAAATTTATAGTACAAAGCAAACAAGTGATATTTGGTGTCTACCATGTAGACATCTTACTATGTGATATTTTCTACACTGTTAGATTTTATTTATTTATTTGTCAGATTTTTTTATTTATTTCTGTATTTGTAATGAAATTATTCAATTTGGTATTTAAAAAAATCGTAAAACGATACTCAAGTGGAAACGCAGTCAGCTTTAATGGGCGTAATCGTCGTTGGATTCGTACTAACATTTCGTTTAAACCAAATATTCTGTGAAGCTTTGACAGTTCATCATTTCATTCAGCCTAACTGGAGTTCTAATAGCTTGGCAATAGAATATAACGCAATGCAGTGCAAACTCAGCACACATATGCATATATAATCATATGTATATAAAAGATGCACCTCGTTACAACAACAAGAAAAGGGACACTGGATACTTTTGAGGCGCTTTACTGGCTGAATTACATACGTGCTTATCTCTAGTATATATAGAAAGACTTGATTTGTTACTCTAATTTCTCCCAATACTCAAACAATGAAAAAGTAACTCTTGTAAGTTCATCTATTTGAACTACTGTAAGTTTTAGAACACTAACGAAATTTATTATTTATTTATTATACCAACCTTAGAGAATGAGCATTGTTATTCTATTAAATTTCGCCTTTTCATTTTGATAATAATTTCTTAATTATTACACAAAATGTGTATATTCAATTAGTAGTTACAAGATTTGTTTTGTGTTACAACAATTTAAATAAGTTTGGTCTTTTTATGTTAAAATGTTACTTTTCCTATTGTGAAATTATTTTTTGCATAAAAAAATGTTTTCTTCCAGCCATTCTCTATACCCCTATGAACATTGTTCGTGACTGAAAACCAAGAAAAAACGGATTAATCAATAAAGACACCAGTTTTTACTTTTTTACAGCATTTAAATAAAAATTTGTGTTTCATTGTTCAGTGCACGGCACTGTAGTCAGAAAACTGTTGCTCTAACAGCAAGAGAAATTATTAAAAAAAAAAGAGCAACCAGTTGAATTTATAACTGTTACTAATGTGGAGGTGAACAAAAGCCAAGTCTCTTTCAGTTATATAGAGCCATTCTTGATTGCAATTGTTGTTCCGTCGGTTTCAGCATCGAGTAGGAGCTTAATTTACTAAATACTCACTTATCGTCGAAGATAAGTCGTTCTTATTTTATGAGAAAGTTCAGAGAATCGGTTATTCCCTATTGTGCATCTTGTGTGTATCTTGTTCTAATATTCTATATATGTAGCTAACATGCAAACCATTTATCGGTTAATAACCCAACGGTACCTCCAGAGATTTTTGCAGCAGTTTTTATGAGTTTCTTAACACCTCATTGACCCAATCCTACCCAAAACCCTTCTCACATGGTAGCGCTCCATTTCGTTGTAATTTTGAGCACACAAATGGTATTCACTACGAGTGTAAAATTTAATTTTTAAAATAAAGATTTCTTATGTAAAATACCTGCTATAAGTGTAAAATGTGGATTTATTTAAAAGTTTATAGTTTAATTTAACTAATTAGAAGAGAAAAATGTGAATAAAGTGTGTTAAATGTGGTGAAATAGCTTCTTGAAATGTTCGAATTTTTGAACTTTAAGGTCGAATATCTCGTAAACTAAGCGTTTGCGGCACTGCAATAAACTACTTACTTCTTACAAGCAATTAACTTTCGATATGCAATTGGAGCGCAATAAGAAAAAATAAGCATTCTTAATATATTGAGGGTATTTATTATCTAGGATTTGTTGAACGATATAATTACTCTACAGACTTTGCTTAAAAAATAATGTGGCAACTCTTTGAAATCCAAGATTGGAATAAAAAACGTGGAGGATTGTGTTGATATTGAATAAGTCTGAAATATAACAATTTATTTAAATATAAAGCAACATGGTGAGCCATAAAAAGAAATTACGGTCTGAGAAGGCGAAAGTAAAATTAAAGGCTACTAAATTGCCGAAAGGTCTAAATGTCACTAAAACAGAATTCAAGGTCCGAAAAATCACGATAAGGGAACAGTTGAAGGAGTCACAATTCGCGGACGGAGAACGTCAATTGAACTTAAAAGAAACTATTTCACGCTTAAAGCACCACAGTTCCAATATGCGCGCTGATTCGCTTCGAAATCTCCGCGAGGCCATCACTGCCGGTCGTGTCAATCTAACTGGTTATATGCACAGCCTATTGCAAAGTGTTTCCGCAATATCGTTGGATATAGATAGGGAGACACGAAGAGATTCATTCAAGGCGTTGAAATGTCTTTTAACAGCTTTAAAAACTGATGAAGTTGTGCCTTTCTTCCATATAATTTCGTCTTATTTACGATGTGCTATGACACACATTCAACCAGCAATACAAGAAGATTCACTGCTCATGCTGGATGTTCTTATGGAACATGTGCCACAGTTAGTAGTAACGCATAGTGTGAAGATTATACGAAACTTCCTTGAAATGATTTCAAGAGCGCGTAAAGAAGGTGATCACACCAGTCGAACCCTTACTGTTCGTTTAGGTGAAAAGCAAACTACAATAAAGTGGCGGACTAAAGTTTTGGAACGCTTACGTCAAATGCTCGCTACTTTAGTTGAAAACAAACGTGCAAATAATACTGGGAGAATTGTAAATAGCTTCACAAAAAATGTCACATTTAATCCAAATACTCCACAGCATTACAATGTAAAGAGAAAATACCTTACTCCAGCGAACAAAATCGATTTGCTAGCAGCGTTGAGACCATCACTAGGCGTTAAAAGTGCAGACCCCATAGAAGGAAGCGAAGAAGAAAGACTTCGAGAATACATCATCCATCTTCTACCTTTACTGGTGGAATCGTGGATTGAAGTGCGACCGCAGAACCAAAAAATGTCAACAACATTGACAAGTGAAGCAGCACAAACATTGAAAGTTGCGTTAGAAATTCTGCAAAATATCTGGATGCTAATTGAGTTGCATGAGGAGAACGAAAACATTCACCAACTAAGCGTTTGGTTTCAACAGCAATATGCGGAAACTTTTGCTGGCAGTTTTTTAACGGATAGTTTTCCTTACCAACAAATTGAAACTGGTAAAATTAAGTAATTCTCTAAATTTGGACTTCTAATTCATATCATTCAATGTTTATTCCAGATCCTGAGATGAATAAGAAATCTTACAAGAAACATTTGAAATTGTTAAGTGCTAACGGTGGACAGTTATGCTTGGAACAAAATATATGTTTGGCATACCTAATGTGCCAATTTTACAAATCACATAGTTCAATTCAAACTCAAGTTGAAAGATTTACTACACTGTTCAAATATCTTGAAGAAGTAGTTTCCAATCTTTCGGCGCATCCTTTACAAAATCACCACGCTTTGATAAAAGCTTTGCGTATCAGCTTATTTGAGAACGATATTAAATTTTTGCAATTGCATAAAGATCTAATGCTACCATTACTAAACAGCACCATGGAAGCCTTTCTGCGAAATAATTTTCCTACTAAAACCAATTCAGAAACAGAAGTACTCACACTTATTTGTGAAATTGTGCAAACACCACAGCTGAGACAACATTATGGGGAGGATACGTTCGTTCGCTTTTTAGAATATTTGCCACAACTTTTATTGAAACAAAGTGTCCAAGTGTCAACTATTATTGCTATGTCAACTTTAGCCAAGCAAAAAAATTCAACATTTCTACGTGCGTTGGAAAGTAAAATTGAGGCCGTTATTGAAAACTTACAGAAAATACAAGTGTCTGGAGCACCAAACGCATTTGAGGGGAAAAAGCATATCATGAACTTATTTTACTGGATCGAAAGAAAATTTGCTTCAGAATACAAAAAACTTTTGCATCAAAATATCGACAAGCATATTACTGACAAAAGAATTGTGAACTATTTCAAATACATATTATCCGAATAAAGTACACAGCAAAGACCCAAATATTGTTAAATGATAAGCGCCCTAAAGTTTAAATTAAGCATGATTAAAGATCCGGTATAGTAGTATTGTTATTTACTATTTGCATGAATAAACAAATTTATATTAAAATGATATTAACTACTTCTTCGTACTTTTTGGTTTAAAACGATCCAGTACCGATGGCACACTTGAGTCAAGAGGTATAAAATCGCTTGCTTTCTTTGAGTTTTGCTTGAAGATAGTTTGCTTCGATTTTTTGATGTCCGCAATAAACTCCTACAGAAAGAAAAATAAATGAGTAATTGTTATAAAAGAAGTAATTTTTTCATAATATACCTTTCTCTTGAGGTCTTTAACGATTTGCTTGTTACGTGAAGCTTTCGCACTTCCACCGCGACCTTTCATTTTATGTCGCGACTTGAAGTTTATTTTTGGTGGTTTCAAATGGAATAATGATCGCTTCGCATCAACCTTCTCCTGCAGCGTGGGCACATCAACAGCAGAAATTTCATTCGGATCCAAAGTAATCAACTCTGGTGGTATTTTCTCTAAAAGTGCGTGTACTTCATGTTCACGACGTTGTGACTTGGTCTGATAAGGATTATCCTCCAAAGCATCGAAATTGGGTTCACCCGAGCCGGGAACAAGTAATGACTGAAAGCCTTTGGCTGTTGCTATGCCAAGGATATCTTCATAGGGGCAGAAGCGCATGCCATGCACAAATGAATCACACATTTGGCGCAGATATGGCGTTTCAGCCTTTTCTCCCAATAACAAGTTCGATTGAATCTCACAATACGTGCCCTTAATGAATAATAAATTTTATTAGTATATACATATGTAAATGTAGACAAAAATGTATTGTCAAATATTGGTACCTGTGAATATGCTAGAGAACCACGCTGAGATACCACAACCTGGTTAGCTGGCAGTCTCAATCCATAACTTACGAGTGGCCCTTTTAAAGCGCGTATATCCCAAACCTTAACTTTTCGATCTTGGCCTGCTGTGACCATATATTGACCTTTTGGATCAACAGTTAATGCACTCATAGGTGTGGAGTGGCATAGCATTTTCGCAAGAGGTTCTCGTACTTTCGGCGACCACATGGACACTACACCTTTAGATCCGCCAATGCATAAGACACCATTTCCTGGATTTTGATGCATTAATCGTATATCACCAAGTTTCGTATTGAAATTACTAACTAACTCGCCAATAGATACATCCAGCCATGACGCGTAGCCATCTTTGTTACCAGTAGCAAGAAGAAAATGGTAAGGTAAGAACTCCAAGCAGTTAACTCTGTATAAACGTTTTACACAGTGCAATTCGGTGCCTTGACTATCATAAATATAGACCCAATCTTTTTGCGCACATGCAAACATGGTATGTACATGCAGCCACGAAACATCAGCTACTTCCTCCATTACATTCATTTCACAAAGAAGCTTCTTTGTAATCCAATCAAATGCAGCAACGTGTCCTCGGCGTCCACCAAGCAGCAGATGTCGACCATTTTTAGTATACCGCAAAGAATACGGACCAAAATCAAGGTTTAATTTGAAATGTTTCGATGCGGACAAAATGTCGACCTAAAATAGTAGATTTGAATGAGTAAATTTTCAATACTAAATACCTGGGTACTTACATTTCTAGCAATTTCTACTTGCCGATACTGTGCAGTTATCTCTTCCTCGTCTGGCTCAATAAAACCTTGTTGTTCCGTAAGTAAAATTTCTGTTCGCGCTGCTTGTTCCGTAGCATATTGCAGGTATACTTCCTTGCGCTCTTGTTTCTCTTTGAAAAATTTAGTTTTTACACCTTTAGATCTTACCTTTTCTCCTTTATCATACTTTTTTAGGAGTTCTTTTGGAATTTTTGTGTTTGATTCTGTTTTAATATACTTTTTTGGTGCTCCTTTGCGATAAAAAGTTTTTTTAAACCCAATCTGCTTGTCTTGCTCAACTTTAATGATTTCACCTGAGAAATTCTGTTGGCTGACACCTTTCAATTTAATAGGCTTAACCTCTTCCTCGGGTACAGGCGAATGAAAATAACGCGAAGGAGCAGTTTTAGCATCTCTACGTGGTGGTTTTTTATCTAAATTTTCATCTTCCAACATTTTGTAAAATTTTAACAACTTTATTATGATTGTGGCACAACGTGCTCAAAACAATATTGTTGCCACACTAATAAAATTAAATGGGATTCAAACAATTGCCAAAATCTACAAAATTATATATTTACTTCTCACGCACGTGAAATAAAAAGAAATATGCACAATTATAAAAAAGAAAATAAATTATTATATTTCATAGTTAAAGCATTTTTAACAATGTATACGAAATGAAAAAAAATAATATTTTTGAAGCAAAATGCTACATATAATTTTTATCTGTACGTATAACCTCTATTATATTTGCATATATTAATAGTTGTTAATATATGGGAAACCAACTGAAATAGATTCACATAAAAATATGTATTGAAACTATATTTTTATTAGTCGTAGCAGTTACATTTAACATCATTTATTTTGTCTACATTTCACTGCATATTATTCGCCGTTGTTTACGTACAGCATGAGAAAGAGAAATAAATGAAGTAAATTCAATAAAATAGTACTATGTAAATGCAACACTAAAGTAAATGCTTTGCAGCCCTGTTTTTGCCTCTCCCTTTGGTTTTCCTCTCTTGTGAAATTTTCCTTTAATTTTAATTTTCTGTGGAGTGTGGCTGGGCAAAGCAACAATAGGTGAGTGTACCGTTTTAAAAGAATAAAATTAAATTAAATGTGTAAAAGTGCTGTGGAACGAATTTTAATTAAGATCACTGGTGGCAGAATATATTAAAAAATAATAGTAATATAATGTGGGTTTTAATACGATACACTTGAAGTTTTTTCAGTGGATAAAAGTATCTGTATTCGCGGGGAAAGAAAACAAGGAGGCATTTTGAGTTAGTGAAATAGTCGGTCGGTTGATTAATTGGCTTTCAGCGTGTACCGTACCTTCTCATATTATCCGCTATATCAATAATCGGTTTCCTTTTCTATCGTGTGTGAGCAGGAGAACTGTTGTTGAGTTTTAAGTACAACAGTGTTGCCGCTATCGAAGAAAATTAAGATGGAGGAGGATAGGTAAAGTTAACGAATGATATTTGAAAGTGGAGAAGACGATAAAGAAGTAGTCAGAAAGCGAGGTATAAAATATTTTATTCATTTTCGTGGCTGCTGGCAAAAATGTCGGAATTGTGAATGAAAGACGAATACCATTGCTCGATTAAACTGTGTTTTATTAAAAGAAAACTGAATAAAATTGCAGAAAATTCTGCAGATAAGCGTCTAAGAAAAATAGTTTTATTTTGTGTTATTAATTTAGTTTGTTAATTTTGCCAAAATTCTATCCCTACTGTGAGTAGAATCCGTAAAAATTTAAGTAAAGTGTACAAAGTATCATGTGTCGGAAATAGACTAATATCGTTTCCTTGTGTTCGCACTTTCTTTTGAATTTTCAGAAATAAAATGAGCAGTTCCGAAGAAGTCTCTTGGGTAACATGGTTTTGTGGGCTGCGCGGCAATGAATTCTTTTGTGAGGTAAGTGTATTAACTTAAATTTAATAACTATATTAATGCAAATAATTAAATTTTGATATTATTTTCGATTCCTCTTTGTTATCTAATCACTATTGTTTTAACAATGTGGGTATGGCAGAAGTTAGCGTGTACGAATTTCTATTGGTGACAAAATTTCCTTAGGTTGTTGCCATATAATTTGATTTAAAATTCCGCCACCCTTAACTTTTAATTTAACATTCCTCTGCAGTTTAATAGTTCGTCCATGGAGTGATTCAATTTAAATGTTGAGATCACCATTTGAGTTTTAAGAGGATATATAATTGCTAGCCATAATGATTATACCCACTTTTATAGTCTTCCATGTTGATTTCGTATTATTAACTTTTTATTTTTCTCTTTACAGGTTGATGAGGATTATATACAAGATAAATTTAATTTAACCGGATTAAATGAACAAGTTCCCAATTATAGAAATGCTCTTGATATGATCCTTGATCTCGAGCCAGGTATGTATACAATTTTAATGTTTTTTTTTTTTTACATTGAGAGATATAAAACTAAAATAATATTTTCCTTTTTTTTTTTGTAGAAGATGATCTGGAAGAGAATCAACTGCAATCAGATATGACGGAACAGGCAGCAGAAATGCTGTACGGCTTGATACATGCCCGATACATTTTGACAAATCGCGGAATTGCGCAAATGATCGAAAAATACCAAACTGGTGATTTTGGACATTGCCCACGTGTATATTGTGAAAGCCAGCCCATGTTACCTTTAGGTTCGCCACTCATAAAAACTAAAATTCATTAGTCATAAATTAATCTCTATAATTTGCAGGTCTATCAGATATACCTGGTGAGGCTATGGTAAAAACCTATTGCCCCAAATGTATTGATGTATATACGCCAAAATCGTCGCGTCATCATCACACGGATGGTGCTTACTTTGGCACGGGATTTCCACACATGCTCTTCATGGTTCATCCTGAATATCGTCCTAAGCGGCCGACTAATCAATTTGTTCCAAGGTAGGTAATAATAAATGAGAATTTGAAATTTGAGTAAATATTAATACCGTGTAGCAAATTACAATTTTTATTCTAATATACATATAAGGGATTTAATTGTACGCCAACTTGTACTATTTTGCATATGTTTTGTTTAGTCATCATAAAGCTGTAGAAATAGATTATTTAATAGTTGCAGAGGCTTTGAGTAGTATGATTGTTTTTTTTTTAATCAAATCAAACCTATTTAAGTATTTTCTCGATCTCGCGACAGTTACGCTAGCAGAACAGTTGATTCAGAGAATGTTTTCAAAATTACAAAAGCAATATAATCTGTTTTCGAACATTTATTTGTTAATCTTTATATATAAAAAATAACGTGTCCCGTTGTTTGTCCGCGATGGACTCGTAAACTACTGAACCGATTTAGAAAAATTAAGCACACTGTGTCAAGTTTGAAGCAACATAGAAGATAGATAGATATTTTCAATGTATTGAATATATTATTATATGAAGAATAGTACAAAATTTATACCACAGCAATGAGTCGCCGGATCCACTAGTTAAATTATATTTCAGAAGTTTTACCCTTCGTATTTTCCTTCGATAATATACCTGTAGTGTTATTTTTAAAGGGACACAAATTTATTGACTTGACCAACAAATAGTAAATTTTAAACTAATGTATTAGGATTTCTGTATATAAATATATTACTATTTCACGTTTTTAATATATTAATCGATTTTTTTTGTTTTTTTTTTTACAGACTTTATGGCTTCAAAATTCATAGCTTAGCTTATCAAATTCAACTACAGGCAGCAGCCACCGTTAAAATGCCACTTCGAGCGGTAAATTTAAAATGAAATTTCTTTGCTCACATCTTAAACTTTAATATCGTTTTTCCTTTTTCTTTTTATTTTTAATTTTTCCATAACTATTGCATTAAACAAAAACTTTTATAAAAAAAAACGTTTACATTGAAAAAAAAAACAGAAAAATTAATAAAAATTAAGAAATACAAACCACAAAAACAACTCAAGCAAACTTAAAAATGTAGAGATCATGATGAAAGTTCGTTTTGTTTAAGAAATAAATTGAAAGGCAGCCAAAAACACACACAAACAACATTAGAAACTGAGATACAATAACTAATCAGCACAAAATGTATTGAATTTTCCACGGAAATCGTCTTCACTAAATATGCGATACACAAAACACACACACACACATTAACTTTCACAGTCAAACAACCTACATTTGCTAATGTATTGAAGTTTTGTATTGTTAACGCATGTCATAAAACACTACTTAGACATATTTTTCATTTCATCCAATTCTACCCAACACAAATGGCATCATAAAAGTGACGAAATTCAATACAATATCGAAGCTTTTTCTAATACGCCGTATTTTTTATTTTTATATATATAAAACTCCTCTGGTAGGAATGAGATAAACATTCACAGATTCACATCAACTTGCATTCTGTTAATGTAGTTTTGAATGATGAATAAATTTTAATATAATAATCATTTTGTATACACGCTCTTAATTGAAACTAAAAACATAAGATGATATAATTTCACTAAGTTAAAAGTGAACGATTTTTATGAAGCTATCATATAAAAGTCCGGAAAATTATAGGTTAAATAGTGTAGTCATGATTTTCAGTCTATAATCTGTTTAAAAACATTTGTATTATTATATACTAAAAAAATATATATACAATTGAAATAACTCCGTTTAAATAAACATAGAATGTTTCGCATCGATACATTAGGATAAAATCCAGTCAGCTTTTACTTGTACTTACTTAATGATATAAGCTTCTTTTAATGCATGGAATTTTAATATAAAAATTGCGTTTTCGCTGTTAGTCAATCGTATAAGTGGATATAGTTAACATTGATGGAGAAATGGTGTCATTTCATGCCTCATGGATATGAGTTTTTTCAATTATTAAATTCGTTACTGCCACTGTTAAGAGATTTATTATATTTTCGAGTAAATATTTTCATACATAGTTTATAGATGACAACTAGTTTTAACTTGCACCCAACGAAAATACCATATAATCGTATTTTCAAGGGAACGGATAGAATGAATACCTACTAAGAATACACCTGCATACTTGTATTCCCATAAGAATTTATATGTATGCATATTTTTGTTTATGTGACTAAAAGAAGTGTTTAGGTGTGCTATATTCTAGCAGCGATCAGCTATGTGCGTACGTCTCAATGTTGTCTGCCTCCTTATGTAAGTGACATTTTTCTAATATGGACTTGTGTTCCTTGTCAATTTTGTTATACAAATTAAGTAAATATTTGAGTTAAAAATAATTTTCCTAACTTTCACAGGACTATATTGCCCTCTGTCAGGAAATTCTAAGCCGCCCAGATCCAGAAGCTGAAGGGGAGTGAAGGGTTTTCCTCCCAAAAGTCCTTCAACAGAATTCAATGCAAAACATATATTGTATATGTGCATGTATTCGATGCGTAACATGTCAATATTTTATTGCCTTTGTATAAAAACAATAATGTACAGTTTTAATTAAATTTTCATTGTTAAGATAATGAACTTTTGGCATTTCATTTCGTCGTCGGATTTTGGATGTTAGGAGAAAATAGTATTGTTTTGTGTGTTTTAAAAACCCAGTAAAATTGGTTATGGTATAGGAGATGAGTTTTATGTCATATATAACTGTATAAAATTCGATTAGGTTAGGGATTAATAAGATATAATTTATTTATTATTAGTATTGAATTATATTAAAAATTATAGGTATGTATAAAAAAAATAAAGTTTACTTTAAAAGTATGGTTAGTTATATATGAGAAGATTATAAAGCCTGATTGTTATGGCAATGGCATAACATATTCTTAGAATAGTTTAAGGAATGCAAGCGAATCTTGCAATTCTTGATCCGTGCCCGTCGGCTATTATGGGAACGGAAGCGAATCAGAAATGAAAATTTCGAACGCACGCCATTGTCTTAAAAATAATTTCAGGAATTAAGTTCACATTTATATAAAAAGTCATTTTACACATATTACCTTTTGAACTAAGTACGAATTCTATTTTACGTTAAAGCAATTTAGCGATTTATTTTGAAAATCGAGATAAAAGTTCGTAAGCCTTCGCTAAAGTTGAATAATTTCAGCTTTTTTATTTTATTTTGATTCTTATTCATAAAACCTCACATATGTATGTTTGTTAGAACACTGCAAATCACTTTGCTCCATTTCCATTCACATTCACCTTATTCTTGCGCGCTTACCAATCACCTAGTATATATCGGCAACAAATGTTCATATAAATACATATGTATGTACATAATCATATTTGCGCTGATGTTCATAAATCATTTGATGCGGGCAAACATTTTATGTGGAATTCATATATTCAAATGCTCTGGAAAATAAATCCACATTAAATGTGAATGTTTGTATATTTGTTAGGAAATGTGTACATTAAATACTCGCATTTGAATGGGATTTCCGCTCAATCACCTTCACTTCACATTTATATTGCGCTTCATATTGGCTAAGTGTTGACTGCCATTTCAATTGTAGTATTCACGCATGTATGAACATGTATGTATGTACATACATTGGAACTTACAATCAGACATGAGTACGAACTATCATCTGCACTTATGTCTACATGTAAATATGTACAAATATTCACCAATTTTGTTGTGTCTATAGAATTTTATTAAATTATAAAAACTGATTACATACAATTTATCTTTATATATTTTCTTTTTTCTTTTGATTTCTTTTTCCTCTTAAAACAATATTCTCGTTAAATCTGTCTGTGTCTCTGTACGTGCAATAAAACAAATGTTTGGCTACAGCGGACTCAACAGAAAGACGAGGAAGAAAGTAACACTAACAACATGGGGGAACAGGCGTATCTAAATCTGAAACAGGAATAAATTTCTAAACGCAAAATTGAGATTGGCCACAATCGGGCAAATACCTATGTATGCAAAAATATGCTAATATGATATGCAGGCAGGCGGTGGTGGGGTGATGGATAATAAAGCGAGTCAATATCGTACCTTTTTATTCATTTCACACACATTTCCATTTTAAATATTTACAATTAAAGTAACAAATAGCAAACATAAACACACTAAACAAAATTAAAACCAACGGAAGCGCTAAATAGAGGTACAAAACAACATTTCCGGTTTTCGCTTCGTACAACTTAATTGTTTGAGATTTAGTATGTCGATTGAAAAGCAGCACTAGAATTATTTTTTAGAAAAAAAAATATACATACGTACATATATACAATATACACACAAACACTTATAAATACATACGTACATACATACATACATTTGGATCAAGCAAATCATATTCGTTTGCCTGATTAATACTAAAACATTTGTATTTAGTAAATTTTAATAAAATATTTAGCCTTTTTACTATCCATAAGCAACAATTACAATAAATTGTAATTAAGTATAAAAGAAGTTTGTAAATGAAATACCATAAAATAAAATACGAAGTGCTACAATACCAACAACGATTAAAAGTATGTATGCTCATACCAACTCATGCACATTAAGACACTCGTAATAGACAAGTGACGGTAAAAACATATTGCTTATTCAGCAAGCAGTCATTTCAGTATCAGACCTACATAGACATACATATGTATGTCACTAAATTGTTGATGATGGATGGAAGAAATAACATATTCAGTTGTGTTATTACTATTATGTCTTAAGGATCAAAAAATTTTAGAACCGGCTGTTGTGAGTATGTAATATTCAATGGTTGTGGTAGTAGCGGCAGAATTCTGCCAAGTTGACAGTCCCTAACTGGATAAAAAAGATCCAGCTCCCTTCCGGTTACGTAGACTTAACTGTCGTGGTAATCGAATTATTCAATAGTCGTTTGAGTGTTTATTGCTGTTCATCAACAGTTGAAGAAAGTTATGAATGCTACAATCGTTTCCTCACACGTTAGTAAAAGGTCTCCTATGAATTTTATTATTTTTCTTGGTTTATCACCTATTATGCAAATACAGAGTGCTTTTAGTTAATATATAAATAACTACTTTCTTTGAACGAAGGTTAAAAAACCTTCAAAACTACATCGAAATGTCTCTGAACAGAAGGCATCACTAAATTTTTGCTGTATTTAAGATATTTTAGCCGAACTATCGCTATGGATCAGAAACGAGTAATCGTTTAAGAGGGTGCAGGCACTTAACTCCTATCTTACATTTAACCATTACTGACTTGCACTTGCCTTCCAATCCAAACCGACTCCAGGCCACGACTATTAACTTTGCAACATTCTTTCCTTGTCTTCTGGGCATTCTGGGAAGGAACACTTCAGTGCTAACAGTCAAATATAAAGTTGGCTCCGCATCGATTACATATCCCCGACTGTTGAAATAACTCTTTGAATTAAACACTATTATCTCGTTGTTTGACGTTTCGACACCACGTTCGTTTAAAATACATAAAGAATGAAGTTTCTAAACCAATAAAAAGGTGCCATCGACCGAGGCCAAGTTAAATTAGTGCACACCGAAAAAAAAAACTATATGCACCAAACTTGTAAGGATTTCAGCGAATAAAGAATTTATATTATAAATTACATTAAGAAAATTATACCAAAAAGGATTTCAGGACATAAATAGCCTATGGACCGGCTTAACAGTAGAAAAGAAAACTATGTATGGATATGCCTTAAAAATAATCTTACTTGCATACGCGCCTAAAAGTATGCAATTGGGTTTTTATTGGAAGAAGTGTGGTAAACAACAGAGAACGTTTAACATGTATGTGTCTGTTAAGAACGCCAATAAAGAAAATGTGTTAACAAATACCGTTGTCTAATGATTTTAAGGTGTTTTCCTTTGTAGCTCAAAACTTGAGATTGAATGAAGTTCATACAAAAGAATATGTGCTAAATGCTTGAGCTGTAAGATCATTAACCGGTATTAATGTCGCAAAATATGCACATATTTCGTTCAGTTTTGAGAATTAACAAAGATAAGCCGGTTAGCATGTTGATTTATAATCAATTAAGGCAATTTATATACTAAAGCGAAATATTGCAGTTGGCTTTGATGAAAGTAAAACACTATATTTTTATTTATTATTTGTTTAATTTAATTTATTTTGTTTTTTTCGTAATGCTCTTCGTAAAATCGAAGGGTTTCGTTCACTTCTTTTCAATTACAATATTTTGCTGTTTTGTATAAAATGAAATCACTTATTCCATGCATTACAACTGCAATTCATGAGTGTGAATGAGAAATATACAATTGCAAAACTTATTTAACTGCGTTTTTTATACATATCGAGTTTTGGACAGACTTGACATGGAATGTGAGACACATTCGAAATCTTTAAATAAAGAAACAAATAAATAAATAAACTAAAGTTTTACATCGTTATATAGATGTAGAGAAAATTACAAAGAAGAGTAATGTAACTTGGGCAGGAGACTGTATATCAATTTCGTTCAACTAAAAAAAAGGAGGTTGGTTGTTGTTGGAAAATTAAAATTTTCTGGACTGCGGAGGTTTCATTTTTTCTTCATATTAGATCTTCGAAATTTATTAAACTTATTTTGTTTAAGAGTGTATCAGTCTGAAATTTTCTATATCAGTTTTAACAACTAAATGAAATTAATAGTAAATGTATTAAGGACTAATTGTTTACTCCATCCTTCCCTTACAGCTCGTCCTTCGCATCATCATCACTTTCTTCAGTTGGTGGTGCACCACCTGCTCCTTGGTACAGTTTGGCAATAATG